GGTACCATGCACGTCCAAACGGCGAGAGTCGTCCACGCCATCCGCACTTTGGCTCGAGAGGGTGGCTCCGAGCGGCTCGTCGAGAGCGTCGCGTGGGGCGAGACGCCCGCTGACCCCGAGAGCCCGCCACGCGATATAGGTAGGTAGGAGAACCTACAGCTACACTGTACAGTGTGAACGTGAGGCCCGTGTCTGGCGAGTGTGAATTCACGGCAGAGTGGTTGGCCGACGTGCGCTTCGCGGACGGCCCCGAGAAGATCGCGGGTCACATGGCGCACGAGGCAGGGCCGGGCTGGCTCGAGCGGCAGCGGCGCGAGGCCGGCGACGACCTCGCGCTCGCTCTTGCGCGTGAGGCCACCAGGGCGGCAGCGGCGGTGCCCACGGCTCTCCTCGCCAAGCCGAGCGGGTCTGGCCCGGGGGAGCAGCCTCTGGCGGCGTGGATAGCTGCCGCAGGAGTCGCCCTCGCCGCCCTTGCTGCGCTCGCGGTCGTCCAAATTGCGAGGGCGTGGCGCCGCGCGAGCTCTGCTCCCACGCAGCCGCTCGCTCCAGCGCGGGTCGAGTCGAGCTACGTCGGCCTGGCCGCACGACACGCTTAGGCTTCCACACACACAGACCTCACAGCACGCAGGTCTGGGGCCCCTAGTGATGTCCACTCCCTAAAAAAAAAATGGTAAAAGGAACAGGTCCTATGTTGTGTGCGTGCTCTTGGTCCGGGGTTGTGCTTTTGGTGAGATAGGCTCCCCAGCCGCCCGGCGCGGGGCTCCACGACTATACGTCCTGCACGGTGGCAGCGCTCGCACCGAGCGCTAGCAGCGGATCTGGGTCAATCACAGCTTCTGCTTTGTGGAAGCGCGAGAAGGCATAGTCCGTGGCATGAGAAGAAGGCATCTCGTACATAGTAGCCTCCCCTTCAATCGCTCCCTCTCCCATCGCCGAGGTCGTGAACTCGCCCGTCTTGGGGTAATCGTCTAGCAGGCCATACCGTGGCGCAGCCGAGGCGAAGGATTGTCCGATGATTCCATGCGGCAGTGATCGCGTGGCGGCGTCACCCCTTGCACTAAAGCTGACATCGACGCGGTGCTTTGGGCCTGAGATCCAAGAGTAGACGTGGTTGCCCCGCACAGTGATGGTCCAGTTGCCGAGGTTGAAGGTGGCGTGGGAGAAGGCCATCTCAATTCTAAGGTCACCACATTGCTTGAACCCAGACCTTCCGAACTGGAAGTGGCGGTGCTTGCATGTCCCGTTGATGACGTTCCACCCCCAGTTCTCGTCGTTCAGCGAGTGGGCAAAGAAGGAGGCGCGGGCGGGAGCGGAGATGTTTGAGGAGCTAGCGACGATATGCGCCTCGGTGAGGAAGCTGCCATGGACGATGAGCTTGCCGCCGTGTAGCCGGAACGATGCGTCTTCAGTCTTGACGTTGACGGTCAGGCGTGGGGCGGAGAAGAAGTTGTAGTATGCTCCGTTGCGTCCCCGAAAGTCAGCCTGACCGCCGTGCGCGAAGTAGATATGAGGATCCTGACGAACCAAAGCGTCGGGTATGCTGTCGCCGTCTGCGTCCGGGTCGACGTTGTCGGTCGCGCCATCGCTGTCTGCGTCGCTCGTGTTGGACTCCTCTGCGTCGGGGATGCCGTCGCTGTCTGCATCGCCCGTGCCCTCCTCCGCGTCAGGCGCGCCGTCGCTGTCTGCATCGCCCGTGCCCTCCTCCGCGTCAGGCGCGCCGTCGCTGTCTGCGTCGCTGGTGTCCTCCTCTGCGTCGGGTGTGCTGTCGCCGTCTGCGTCCGGGTCGACGTTGTCGGTCGCGCCGTCGCTGTCTGCGTCGCTCGTGTTGGACTCCTCTGCGTCGGGGATGCCGTCGCTGTCTGCATCGTCAACAGGCGGCGGCGCCGGTGGCGGCGACGGCGGCGGGGAGTGAATGCACGGGCAGTCCTCCGGCCACCGAGCTGTCGCTCCGTAGGTCGGATTCTCGGCAACATTGTTGTAGCGCGTGCCGTCGGGGCACAAGGCGTACTCGCACGCAGCCGACCCTGCCCGCAGATCTCGAGTCGGCGATGAAGGCTCGGTATGGCGCCGAGCTCGCCAAGAACCTGCTGCAGATGCTCGAGGGGCACGACGCGCTGCTCGCCCTGACAAAGATCGCCTGCGAGCCGACGCCGGATCAGGCTGCGATGGACGACGTCGCCTACCGGCATGGCCTTGCCGGTGCGACGCAACTCTGGACCTTCGCTCCCCGTCCCTTTGTCACCTCCCCCCCCCCCCCCCCGCAGCGTGCACATGCATGGCAGTCCGCGGATGAATCGAGCTGGACGAACATCTGGAACGTGATCCTCGCTGCCGGCACTTGGTACATCAAAAAGTACGCGCCACCCGCCCCCCTCCCCGGCACGCGCGCGCCCCCTCCCGCCCACCCTCCCCGGTCTCACTACTCGGCCTCGGCGCGCGCGATAGGCACGGCAACCTCGGCAAGTTCTCCACGGCCAAGCTGGAGGCGCTGGGCTGGGACGCGAAGCAGATCTGCCGCACGTGCGTCAACTGGCAGACGCCGATGGGGCGCGAGCTCCAGAAGAGGGTCATGCGGCGAGCGAAGAACGGCGTCACGGGCGCCGACGGCGAGGACCTGCCGACGACGTCGCACTGGCAGGGCTACACCGGCTCGGGTGCCGAGCAGCTGCTGCGGAGGCTGTACTGCAAGCACGTGTCGAACTTCTCGGCGGGCAAGAGGTCGGCGTCGCGCCTCTCCGAGCTGGGCCGCGTCAAGTGCAAGTTGCCGGTCTCCCAGGCGCCGCCAGACGTCGGGTCGCGGCTCCCCGATGGCCAGCTGTACAGCTGCCTGGGCCTCTACCGGTCCCTGTTCATGGGGCGCGTGGCCATCGGCACGCTCTACCGTATCGACGGCACGTGCGCCGTGAGACCGGCCAAGGAGGTCCGCGTGCGGCCGTCTGCTGCCGGCCAGCCGGGGCACAGATTTTTTTTGAACTACTTTGGGGGAAGCACGCCACATGTGGGGCTAGTATGTCGTTTAGGGGGGGTGTCCGCGGCCCGGGAGTATTTTTGTACGCGCGGAGGCGGCCGGGGGCGGCCCCTGGGCGCCGAATGGCCACTTAAAAAAGAAATAACTCGCCTGGAAGCCGCGCACGGTCGCGCTATTCTCCATGGGATCCACGCGGTTCCATGCGCACGTGTGTTCGGTGTTTGTGGACTCACCCTGATACATAAGTCAGGGGGGCAGGTGTCACCCATCTTGGCGTGCAAAAGGAGTCCCGATGAGACGCCTTGGCGTGCAAGGCCTGAGGGACGCATATACATGGCGGTATCCGCGGGCTTCTTCGCGCCGAGCGCTTCGTGGCTCGCGTGGGGTGTTCTGCCCATCGCCGCGATCGCCACGAGCGTGTTGCGCCGCAGTTCGACGAAGGAGGCCCGCGCGTCTACGGCCACGCTCGCGCTCATCGCGCTCGTCGTCGGTCCCGCGCGTGCTGTTCAGCCGCAACGGATGATTACGCACGAAGGGCTGCTGCCGGGCGAGCTGAGCGCCCTGCCACCGTGGCTGTCGGCGCTCGGCGTCTCCCTGGTCGGTCACCGAAAGGCGCAGCACATGGTGCGGGGAATGTCAAAGGTGACGGCCATCAGCACGCTGGGCGTCACGGTGAACGTGACGGCTCTTGCCAAGGACGACACCATCGGGCGCCTCCAGGACGAGTTTGCAAACCGCCGTGACGCCTGGGGACGCGATTGCGGGGAATGCGACGACTATGGAATTCGCCATCTCACCTCACCCACGCCTCTCGTCCTTGACGTCGGCGGAAACATTGGCTTTATCTCCTCTCTCATCGCACATGTGCACCCCAAGTCGCAAGTCATCGCCTTCGAGCCCTCACCAGTCACCTACTTCATCCTCCGCATCAACCTCTGGCTCAACGGCGTCCATGTGCTTACATCGGAAGAGCTCCAGGGGCGCCCGAAGATCGGAGGCGTATACCCAGTCTTTGGCGGGTTGGGAGCCAGTCGGGCGCCGTTCGAGTGGGTCAAAGTCTCAGGCGGTGCGCTCGCTAAGAGCCAGAACGTGATGACAAGGTTCGGCAAGTCAGGCGACGTGCCCGCCTACCATTGGGACAGTTTCATGGAGTTGCATGGCCTCACGTCTCGTACCTTCGACTTGGTCAAGCTCGATTGTGAATGCTGCGAGTATCGCCTAGTGCCGCAGGTTAGCAAGTGGATCACGAACAGATCATTGGTCAAGCGCCTTGCAGGCGAGCTGCATGGTTGCCGCGCCGCGGTCGGCGAGACGGAAACGCTGTCTCTCCTCCGCTCCCGAGGGTGCCGATTCCATCCTCGGAATTTCCTTGCAACGGACGAGGAGAGGATCGAGATGGCGACCCTTGAGAAAGATGGAAAGAAACGGGAGAGGTTGGCGGAGTTACAGCGACGGGTGGCCACGGGAAATTTCCATGGGACGGCGGATCTCGCCCTGTCTTGCCATGGGGACACTGGCTACTTGCCCCCTCCTTAAAGTCGAGCTTCACAGAATGCCTCTCTTGTGCTGGGCTACTCCCGTCCTCAGCGCGCTCTTCTCCAGGTGTGGCAGCCACCTTCCTCTCTTGTGCTGGGCTGTTCCCGTCCTCAGCGCTCTTCTCCAGGTGTGGCAGCCACCTTCCTCTCTTGTGCTGGGCTGTTCCCGTCCTCAGCGCTCTTCTCCAGGTGTGGACCTTCTCCCTCTCTTGCGCTTGGCTCCCGTCCTCAGCGCAGCGCGGAGGGCGGCAGGGAGGGTGCGCTGGCGCCTCTAGACCGGTGTCACTAATCGTGTGTTCATGTGTCTCTCGCCATGTGTCACTCGGGTCCGATTCTTAGCTCCCCGCGAGTGTTTGTCCGGTCTCGGGTTGTGCGCGTATACGTGTACATGTATGTACAGGGGTCGCGCTCTCAAGAGGAAACTCGAAAGCAGCCGGGGGCGTGGCACATCGCCGTCGCCGTCGCCGTCGCCGTCACCCTCTCCGACATAGCCAGGTGGGGTTTTCTTTTGGTGTGCTAGTCCGCGCCAGTCCGCGCCCTTGTCGTGCCTGCGTGCTGTGATAGCGATGCTAGAATTCTTTTGGAGGACCTGTGTCGAGCCTGTCTGCTGTGAGATAGTAGTGTTTTGGTTAAATAGTTAGAGGCTGCGCAGGCCTCCCCCGGTATTTTATTGGTCGATACGAGTAGAGCCGCATATTATGAGCTAGCTGCTGCCGGGGCGCGTCCCGGCTCCCGCGCGCGTGTGTGGGGGGCCCCCGCCCCCCCCCCCCCCCCGCGCTGAGCGCTGTCAACGGTGGGCCACCTCTCGGCTCACGCCGCTGAACCAAGCACCTAACTGCATGCGTGGCGGCGCCCGCGGCGCAATCCGAGTACCGAGAAAGAGATAGGAAAAAGAGAGTGTGCCCACAGCCCCTTGGAGTGGGAAGGCTTCCTAACCCCTTGAAGATCCCCAGGAGTGGAGCGAAAAAAAACAAGCGAGTGGTGTGCACAGCCACAGGCTGTGTGCGCACACCCCGGCCGGGACGGTGAAAAGGTCGCCAAGCACCGCTCAACGGCGAAGGGGAAGGCGGTGGCCGCTGCCGTGAAGCGCGAGACACACACACACACACACACACACACACACACACACACACACACACACACACACACACACACACACACACACACACACACACACACACACCGCTCACCCACGCGCACTGGGCCTTGCACTTTGAATGCCGTGGGGCTCCTGTCGTCAGACGTGGAGACGCGAGGGTTGCCCCCCCTTGCCCCACCACCTCGTGTGTGTGGAGAAGTTTACCTTACCTTACCTAGGCGCGAGGCGGTGGCAGCGGTGGTGCGGATAGCGGGATTGACAGGGGAGGCGGCGGCCACGAGCGGAGCGGCGGCGAGAGCGCTCTCCGAGAGGGGGGCGGCGGCGAGGCGCCGGCGAGCGAGAGGCGCCCGCGCCATCAGAGGGACGCCGCCGCGAGATGGAGGGCGGCGGTGACGGAGGCGAGGGGCGAGGCGGCGGCGGCGGCGGCGGCGGCGAGAACGGCGGCACCGAGTTTGTCTCGGTGAGCGGAGCGGCGGCGGGAGGAGGAGCAGCGGGCGCTCGCTCGCTGTTGCGCTGTTTTGAGCCTGGGATCCCATGCCACTGCGACCGGCGTGCCCGGGAACGGAGATCGCGCGCGCGCCGCATTCACGACGCGCGCGCGATCTTCGCGGAGTCGGGTCCACAGAGGGAAGCGGTCTTTTCGGCCGACGTCCAGCGGCGCGCAAGGAAGCAGGCGCAGCGCCGGCGGTGTCGCGCTGCATGGGCCAGCAGGGTGCAGTGGCGAGGGGCGGCGGGCTCGGACGTCCACCGAGTGTTCCGCACGGTAAAAGGCGAAGATCTTGTGATTTCTTTGTATCTTCCATAATAAAATGAACTCGGGGGTACGGCAGGCGGCACAGACGGGGCACAAACGCCAGGCTACAAAGACGGGGAGGCACGTAGTGACGCAGGGGAGTCTGGTGATTTCCGACAGTGTTAGGGCGGGCGGATCCACTTTGTATTCGGCACACTCGCTCACGAATCGAACACGAAGCAACGTAAGAAGACATTCGAATAAGCGGTAAGATCGGCGCTAAACAGGCGATAAACGCAATTTAAATTTATTTCTAGGGCAGTAAATTCATACTTAGGCCCCCGCATCCCTCCCTGGCTGCTGGCTGCTGGATTCGACCTTTTTACGGGGTAAGGTATGGTGTCGTCCCGGCCAAAAGGGTGGGGGGGTATGGATCTGCTGTCTCGCTTCTCTCGCTGTGACCGCATCTGGGGGCCTGCGCCGACCTCCTCGCTTCGCCAGCGCTGCCTATGACTGCGGCACGCACGTCGGCTCGCCGCCCGCGTCGCCCGCGGCGGGCCCGCATAGCGCGCCGCTCGTCGGGGGAGTGCCAAGGAGGTTGAGGAGTACAGGCTGCCTCGCTCAGACCGCCGCCGACGCGGCGCGGGGCCGCTGTCGGCGCTGCTGCCGAGCTCCTGCGCTGTGGGCTTCGCCATCGTGTCCTGAGTACGTCGCCGACGCCACCTGCCGCTCGCCGCTGCCTTGGACTTCCCTGCCATCAGGCAAACACACACACACACACACACACACACACACACACACACACACACACACACACACACACACACACACACACACACACACACACACACACACACTATTAATAATCGGGTAATAATTATTAATTATTAATCATCGGGCGCGGGCGCGGCGCGGCGGCGAGCGGCGCGAGGAGGCGGCGCGGCGAGGCAGCGGGCGACGCAGTGCGGGGCGGCGCGGCGGCGGGTGGTATAATTGTTTATTAATTCATTAATAATGAATTAATAATTGTCGTGCAGTTCGACGACCACTTCTTCCATCTTCTCCGTCAATTTCTGTCCTCTCCCCACCTCACAGTCGAGGAACTCGGAGGTCGCCTTCCCGATCTGTGTCTCACACTCCTCTAGTAACGCTTTCCGTCTGTCGCTGTTGGAGAGGTCCGGCGTGTCAATCTTTTGTAAGAGGCGGCTGAGGCATTCTCCTGTGTCCAGAATCCCTTCCCCCCCCACTTCCTTGTGTATGCCGTTTTCAACGTTCCGCTCCATTTTCGGACCGCGTGCGTGATCCGTCTCCACCTTGCTATCTTCCATCGCAGTCTCTCCCTCTGCGACATGGGGGGTCGTCCCCGTCGTTGGGTGTCCCGCTGCCCGCCCCCCCCTCGGTCCTCCCCCTCCTCGTCCGCCTCGTCGGTCTGTCCGCCCTTATCCCCTTCCTTCGGCACACGCCTCCCTACCGGCGGCAACTGGCAGGTATTCTTTTGGAGCGCCACCAACTCATGCTCACGTAAACGCACAACCCCGGGCCCCGAAATCGCACAGTGATGACAGTGACATGCAACACGGGGTCCCAGGGAAGGCGAGCAAAAACCTTATCGCGCGCGCTAGACGCCGACTCGGAGGCCGCACCGGTCGGGCGCGCAGCCGGAGAGAGAGGGAGGCGCTCAATCGCCGAACTCGGCGAGCGCCTCCAGCGTCTCCGCTTCGTACGCACCCTCCTCCCAGCAATTGAGCGCCTCCTCCACCCCCGCGCCCGCGCCCGCAGCGTCCGTGCCCGCGAGGATGGCAGCGACGCGCTCCTTCTGCCGAGCGTTCGCCTCCGCCTTCGCCTCCTGGGCGTCCGCCTCCATGACCCGCACCACCTGCTCCCTCCACACGGCGACCCGCCCGGCCAGCTGGAGGTAAGCGTCCGACGACAGCAGGAGCGCCCTCCCGGCCGCCCGCGAATCGGCGCGCGCGCGCCCCGACTTCTGCTGCGCGTTGCGCCTGGCCCTGCTCGACCGTTGCGGCCGCAGCTCCAGCACGACGTACGTGTGGCGTTGCGGGCCAGGCTCGCGGTACACCGGCACCCCGTCCTCGTCCGCGTATCCAGGCTCGCCGGGACGGGCCTCGCTCCAGGCTGTGACCAGCCCGGAGGCTTTCAGCTCCTCCCCGATCTCCTCGCCCTCAGCAACGAGCTCCGCCCGCCGTCGGGCCGCGCGCTTGGCCCGGAATGCCACCGCCTCCGCCGCCGCCGCCGCCTCCTCCTCCGCCGCCGCCTGAAGCGCCGCCTCGGCATCTCTGCCGGGCGATGCCGCCACCGCAGCAGTAGCAGAAGCAGCAGCATGCTCACCGTCTGTACCAGTCGCCGCTGCTCCTCCCACGGCGCGGCAGCGCTGCTGACGGCGCTCTCGCTCTCGCCTCCGCCCCAGATGGCTGTCCGAGGCGTCGGCTGCAGCGGCGCATGCCCGCAACGAGGTCAACGATTGGAACGACTGCTCGCTGCTGCCTCGCCGCATCTTCTGGCGGCCGGGCGCGCCGCCGCTGCTCATCCGGCAGACAATGACCAAGGCAGACATGTGGGAGGCGTCGACTGGCGCCGCCCTCCGTCACCCAGCCGCCGGGGCCCTCTCGATGGTATTGTACAGCGCGCAAAACTTCTCTCGGTGTAGGCAGCGCGGTCTGGGGCGGCGGCATCGTGCTGAGCCGGTACATGGAGGAGCTCGGCAGCGCGTTTTGGGAGGGCAAGCGCGTCCTTGAGCTAGGCACCGGCACCGGCTTGGGGTCGGTGACCGCGACAAAGCTGGGAGCGGCGCGCGTGCTCGCGACAGACCGCGACGCAAAGGTGTTTGCGCTCGCTGCGCAGAACGCGCAGGCGAACGGCGTCGGCGGGACGGTCTCGGCGGCGTCGCTCTCCTGGGGAAGGCCGGGGCCCGAAGCGGCCGACAGCCCCCTCGCGCAATCGTGGGACGTCGCCATCGGCGCAGACGTCACGTGCGCCGCCGCCCTCGCCGCCGCTCGCCGCCGCCACTCTCGCCGCCGTCGCCCACGCCGCCGCCGCCCACGCCGCCCACGCCGCCGCCGCTCGCCCTTGTAGGTACAATCGCGACGCGTGGCCGGTGCTCTTTGAGACCATCGAGGCGGCGAGGGTACCGTGCCTGCTCTCGGCGAGCGAGCGGCGGCCGAATGAGCTCGCCAGCCTGCAGGACGCGACTAGACGAGCCGAGAGAGAAGGCTCCTCGCCTCTAGCCATAGAAGGGTGATGGGAGCGCCCCGCCCTGCGGCCTCACTGCAGCGGGATCCTGGCGGGTCTGACAGTGCACTAACCCCGTTGCACTAACCCCGTCGTCGACGTCGCCCCTCTGGTCCCTCTTGCAGGACGCGATGCGCAAGGCCGGGCTCGCGTTCGAGCTCGTCGACTCGCCGATGCGCAACGGCTACGGCGCCGACAAGGTGAAGCTCTTCTGGGTGAGGGGCCCGCAGGCCCCGACCCAAGAAGGCGCCGGCAAAGGGAGGGAAGGCATCCTTAGTGTCACAGGTGTGTGATCCGCGCGCCCGCGCGCGCTCGCGCCGCTGCTTATTTATTTTTAAAATTTTTATTTCCAAGGCCGCTCTTTTTCCGAACAAGGGAAAACGAGACCGCCCAAAACGAGCGCTCAGCGGCGCTGAGAAGGCGAGAAGGTGCCGCGAGGACGAGACCGCCCAAATAACGTAAACGACTACGAGCGCTCAGAGCTCCGCTGGGAGAAAGAAGGCGAGAAGCTTAGGGGACCCCTAGGCTTAAAAGGGTGGGCCCTGGGGCGAGCTGCTGGGCCGCCAATTCCTTAAACGGTCTTAAACGCTTAAAAGGTGCGGGGAGAGGCGGCTCACCCTTGCGCTGCTCATTTTCTCCGGCCGCCGATGTTGTTGTGAGATCAGGGTGGCAAGGTCATCTCAGGCGTGGAAATAAATAAATAAATAAAACGGACACCTCTACTAGGAGATGGGTAAAAAGGAACAGGTCCCCGCCCTGCGGTCTTTGTGCAGGGTTCTTTGTGGGTGTGGTCGGCGACTAGCCGGGGTCAACATCCTCTCCCTCTTCCGGGACAGGAGGCTCTTCGGATCGACGATATCCACAACCAATCAAGGGGGTGTGCCAGTCGACACGCTGCACATAGACAATGCAAGAGTCACCCTGGACACGTCGAGAGACATCTCGAAGGTCAAGATCCGACCAGTGCGCGACCCACGATCCGTACCGGTGTCACAGCCGGTCATGCCAATGCTATCCACTGCGCCTACAACGCTACCCTATGCAGCCGACCTGTGGCATCGACGCTACGGGCACATGCCCGCGTCGACCATGATGATGTTGCCACATGTCACGACGGGGTGTGAATTTAAGCTCACCCCGCAACAAGCCAAGCGCCATCGGGATTCGTGTAGCATATGCATGCAATCCCGAATGCGAAGGGCGCCCGAGACAAAGAAGGCGCCCCGTTTTGAGAAGTCGCGCGCCCCCGGCGAGCTTGTCCAGTCGGACCTACTCGGACCGCTCCTCGCGAGTCTAGACGGGGGGTATCGGTACCTCGCTGTTTTTGTCGACGACTTCTCGCGCTACATCATGGTATATCCGATGCGAGAAAAGGGTGAACTTGAAGTCCAGTACGCCCGATTCGAGCAAGACATGTCGGAATACTTCATCAGCCAGCGTCGCCAACTACACACTGATAATGGAGGGGAGTTCATGAGCAAGTCGCTGGCCGAATACCTCACCACGAATGAGATTAAACACACCACCAGCTCTCCCTACTCGCCGAACCAAAACGCCATCGCCGAACAGGCGATGTGGCGGCTCTGTTCGGTGGGCGATGCTGCTTGAATGCGGACTCCCTACCTGCCACTGGGCGATGGCGCTCACGCAAGCAGCGCTGCGACTCAACATCACGCCTCGACGCACGATCCGAGCCGGATCCAAAATTAAAGGCGCGAGCCCCGACCCAAGCGATGTGGCCTGGACCACCCCTTATGAACGTCTAAAAGGGCGCAAGCCGAACGTGCGCTTCCTGCGTGTGTTTGGATGCCGGGCCTGGGTACTCAACGAGCCTATCCAAAGACGTGCCAAGCTCGAGTCAATCGCAACAGAGGGATGGTGCATCGGGCCAGCGCGATACTCGCGTGGAATGGTCATTTACATCCCCGACAGCGAATCGCCCAACGACTTAACAAAAGGCAAGTACAAGATCACCCGGAACATCCGGGTAGACGAGTCGTTCACACCTAAGGGACGCGTCGTGGTGCGCGAGGCCCGAGAAGCGGCGGCAGGTGAGTCTGCTGCAGACATGAGCGGTGCAGTGCGGACGGCGGGCTCGTCCGGGTGGTGGCTAGAGATCGACGCGTGAGGCACGGGGGGCCGACGGGCCCTGATGTGGTACGCGAGCCCGAGGCGTGGTGCGCGCGAGCTGGCGAAGCGACGCACGCGAGGCTCCGAGGGGGGGCGCGGGGGTACGTGGGGAGCAGCGCGGGGGGGGGGCGCCGGGCGTTGTAGGTTTCGGAGGCTGCGGCGGCGGCGGCGGCGGCGGCGAGAGACGAGAAGGGGTGGAGAGAGCGGCGCAGTGTGTGTGCTGCTCGAGAAGCGGACGTGGGGAAGAGAGAGCGGTGAGCGTGTGTGGTGTGGTGGGGCGAGGGCGCGGCGCTCCTGAGAAGAAGAGGAGCAGCGCGCAGTCCTTACCAAGGACGCCACGCGCCTCTACGGCGTCTTCACAGCCTTGTTATTGAGAAGAAATTCCCTCCGATGGCGCTGTTCACACAAAGCACAGCCCAGGATCCGGATCGCACGCACGGACAGTCGGAAATGGACAGACAGCCCGCCCCCCCCCCCCCCCCCGAAAGGGGACAGTGAGACAGATGACAGGAGACAGGCAGGGAGCCTACTGTGTGAAATCGCGGAGCGAGGAAAATTTTATACGGAATACGTCCATTTCGGGCAATACGTATTCCGGAATACGTGTGGAATACGGCCTAAAACTGCAATTTTATACGGAATACGGCCCTTTTTGGAGGTCATGTGGAATACGTGGAATACGGATTCACACAGTAGGGCAGGGAGGCTGTCACCGCTTGTCGGGCCTCCTGCCTTTCTTCACTCTGCCGCTCTGCCGAGAAACCAAAATTTCTTTTTTATTGAGCCTGCCTTCGGGTTTGTTATGAACAAACGCAGGGTGCCAGAGACTACTGTAGTCCAGAGCGAGTCAGTCACGCGCCGGCACCCCCCCCGCGCAAGCTCCCGATCCTTCTCTTTGGCGACGCGCTGCACTTGATGGCCTCCTGGGCCATGGAGAGCGTCGGCGTAGTCCCAGGCGCTGCCAGAGCTCTCCGCCCGCACCGCGCTCCTCGGCTGTGAGGCGAGGCTGAAGGCAGCCCAAAAACTGGTGGATTTGTGTTGCTGACAGTTGAGGGCGATCCGCGGGTAACTGACGGCAGGTAAGCCGGCAGGTGGGGGGCGGGGTGTGCCGGGTGCATCCCCAAGCGGGCGAGCCGGGCCCATGCATAGTTCGCGCGCGGGGTGCGCGCGAGCATGGGAAAGACGCTCCTCCATCGTGAATGCTTACCGGCGCTTTTCGGCCGTTGGCACCATCGTTGATTGATGACTTGATTGCGCGAGACTGAAATCCCAAAACCTCTCAGCTCGAAGGGGGGCTTTATTTGTTTGGGGGGTGTTCGACCGGGCTTGGGGCTAGAGCCGCTCCTCGTCCACCTATGGGTGGGGCGGGGGACCGACGTATACATGTATTGCGCGGATGGCATCCCGGCGTGGGGAAGTAGGAGAGGAGCGGCGACCACCTGTATGCTTCCCACGAGGGCCTGCAGCTTCGGCAACGTCTCTTCCCGGCCTCGGACACCCGAGACCCGTCTGCGCTCGCCATGCCTCCGCTTCAGCCTTCACGCCTTCGGCCTCGCCCACATCGCCCTCTCCTCTCGTCTGCTCACCCGCCTCCCGTCCCTGTCTCTGCAGCCGCTCGGCCTGCGCGCAAGAACCAGTGCCACCGCTTCTACAACTCGCCAGGGGCTCTTCGACAAAAAGAAATACGTCGGGGTGGGCTACTCGCTATATACGGCGCCAAGATGTGGCATCGGCGAACACAGGCAGCAATGAGTCATCGTGCTTCATGAGAGGAAGGGTACGTCGTGCAATGAGTCATCGTGCTTCATGAGAGGAAGACGTCGTAAAAGATGCGCATAACGTGCGCGGGCCGGTATTTGGCGTAGCCGTTCCATTCGGGGTCGAGGTGCGCGTTGCGATCGAAGGCGAGCAGCAGCTCGAGCAGCGAGTCGTAGCTGTGGAAGAGCATAGCCCGCTCGCCCAGCTCCTGTATGTGCACCGCACTCGGCGCCACTCGTGCCGTTATCACGCGCTTGCCGAGCATCGCAAACTCGGCAATCGCCAGGCCAAACGTCTCGCCGCCGGAGCGGGCGTGAAGCATCGCGTCGCAGGTGCGGATGAAGTCGGCCTTGGCCGCGTCTGTCGAAGTTTTGGGCAGGAAGCGGATTCGCTCGTGCTGCGCGAACGGTGCCGTGTTGACAAAAAGGAACTCGAGGTCGGCCCGCCGTTTGACCGCCTCTACCACCGCCAGCTGAGCGAATTTGATGTCGAACGTCTCGTAGCCGCCGTACCGGCAGAGGACGGTCGTGGTCGGCGCGATGCGGAGCGCCTTACGCCGGTGCGTCTTGCCGGACGGCAGCGGCCGCACGAGGTACGGCACCACGGGCACGTGGCCGCCGTTCGACACGAAGGACGAAATCCGCGCGTAGCGATCGCCGTGAGGATGCTTGCCGGTGAATACCGCGTGGACCAGGTTGACGGCCGTCCGGGCAACGATGCCGTCGTTGCCGCCAGCCTTGTGGAGGTAAACGTGCGAGACGTTGTGCGGGCGCAGCAGCTCATCGAGTCTCTGCGTGCTCGGCCAACCTGGGAGCATCGTCACCTTGTGCTTGCCGAACCGCTCGCGGAACTTGTCCTCGTCTCCCCCTCCTGGACCGGAAATGCAGAAGAAGTGAGGCGCCGGCAGCTTGAGGAGCGTCTCGCCGTAGTCGGCGTAGTCGAACATGGCCACGCCGGTGCCGCGAAGGCACGAGCCGACAAACGCCCACGCGCGCAGCGGCGGCATCGTGCCTCTCTTGTGGCAGCGCGCCGACTGGCTGTGGCCCTCTTTGGCGCGGCGGCAGATGGGTCGCCATCTGTTCTCGGTCTTGACGGCGCTCTTCGACGGCCCTTCGGTGCGCTCCTCTGGTGGCTTGCTCATCGCGCACTCCTCGTTCGGACAGCGGCCACCGGGCCCCGGCTTGGCAGTGCCGCACGTCTTGCCGTGGTACTGCTTGCTAAGGAGTCCTGCGGCGTCTTGATAAACAAACTTTAGTGGGTGCTACAGCGTGAGCGCTGTCAGAGCGGTGTTTCGACACCGATATCGTTCGAGGAGAACGCTGATTCAAAATCCGCTGTTCACACTTCACAGGCAAGTGTGAGCGGAGCAGCTGAGTAGATACAGCGAATCCTTTGTGTTCACACC